GAGAGAGAGAGAGAGAGAGAGAGAGAGAGAGAGAGAGAGAGAGAGAGAGAGAGAGAGAGAGAGAGAGAGAGAGACCACATTACCGGACCCAAAAAAAAACGGCAATTTTATAAGTAAATAACAGACCGGACAACGCTGTGTTCCACATGGTGCAGCGGCAACACCAGCCGACCTGTGACATCAAATTATTTTATCCGCAACATCACCCCCGGACCGATGATCGAGGAGCCGGGGGGCACAGGCCAACCTCGCAGTTGAGAAACTGGGAAAAAAAAAAACAAACAAACTAATTATTGAAAAAAATAAGGTGATGCCATGACCGTCCTGGTTTGGCTTCGTCATCACCTTGCTCCGCAAAATGCCAGATTCGCCACCGGGCTTCGTGTCCAACCACAAAGGGGGGGACAAAGCATTCACAACGACATAGCCATCGGTTGATGCGGCATATAATTGCATCACGATTATTATTAAAAATAAGAAAAATAATAATATTAATAATAATAATAATAAATCACGCACTGCCGGGGGGCGCATCAGTTGATGCCGCGTTCGCCGCGGCTGGCGTCTTGAGGAAAGCTTGTGCGATGAGCGTTAGAGCTCCGGAAAGTGAAGCCCCGTTCGCTGCGATGCTCATGTTCATCTTATCCATAACACCCATGATCATCACGGTGTTCTCCTTCTGTGACTCCTTCACGCTTGCGAACGCCGAAGCTGTTGCCTTGCCATGCTCCCTCACAGTGTCTGTCATGTCCGCTGTGCGCCGGTCTCGCTGTGTCTTCCGCCGCTTGCATGAGCCTTCGCATGTTGTGATGATACTGGGGTCGTCGGCGGGGGGCTCCACCATCTCCGGGGGTGGTACGAACGGCACGCCGGTGTCGCTGAGATTGGTTGGATTCAGGGAGGGATCTTTTTTGTAGAAGAGGTACATGAGATCGAAGACAGCACGCTTGAGGCAGAAGTCCAGCTTCTTCGTCTTCTTGACTTTGGTGGACATGGTGAAGTAATCTTCAGATCCCAACTTCCGTTCCGTTGGTGGTCTCTAACCCTCCTCATGTGGGACATAAGAGTGTCCCACTTTTGCGAACAAGCGTCCTGCTCCTTCACGACCCCCCTCTCTGCCATCAACGCAGTCACGATTGACCACTGTGTGTCCTTAGACTTGAAATGCTTGACACAGCTTCGTCCGAGCGATTCCTCCTCCATATCGTAGTCAATCTTGCACCTCACAAGGACCAATTGTTTGTCCTCGGTCCAGACTACGCGAGGTTGCGACCCGGTCTGCACGCCCGCACTCCCACCATCTCCAGTTTGCCCTCCCACACCCCCACCATCTCCGTCAGTTTCCCCTTCCGCAGCAGACTCCGCCTGACACTTCCCTTTGCCACCATCAGTAGCGCTCTTGCCATCAGCTCGCTTACTGGCGCAGCCCTTCCCTTTCGACGATTTCTCTCCCTGGGACTTCCTCGCGGTGCTGCCACTTGCGTCCGTGCTGGAATGATCCCCCGGTGAAGCAGTGCCCGATGGTGATCCAGCGCCCGTGCCGGATTGATTACCCGGTAAACCGGTGGCTGCCGCACCGCCAACTGTAGGAGGAGCATTCCTCACTGCCGCTCTTCGTGCTTCCTCACCGTCACGCAGATTCTGAAGCCGATGCACTCTTCCATCCACAGCGTTCGGTTGGCCGAGCGGCGAGGGAGACCCTCCATACACGCCGTTGCCACCCGATCTGTCCAATGACGGATGCCGTGCTTGCTCTTATGCACCCAACAGCGCTGTGTTCGTCGTGTGTGGAGTAGGTGGCCATATGGCAGATGACGACCCGGCGCCTTGCAGCCCTAGCGCTGCGTGAGCAGCGGATCTGTTGTACATCCAGATCCTCTCAGCAACAGCAGGAGGGGGCACGCCACCTTGTGAGGCTGCAAGGTAGATGTCATCTGGTCCGGCCATGAAAGGATCACCGTCATCAACGATAGATGGTCTCCATTGAGAAAGTGGCACAGTGTCACCGGTGACATAAGACCATGGCTGCGAGGATGGCATGTCTTCACCATGGACGTGCATACCAGGCCCGTGATGGCGGTGAGGCGTGGCAGGTTGTCGGCTCCAATGCGCCGTGAAAGCATCACCGTCGTCGATGATAGAAGGCCTCCATTGAGAAAGTGGCGCCGTGTCACCGGTGATGTACGAGCACCGCTGGGAGGATGGCGTGTCTTCACCATGAACGCGCACGTCAGGCCCTTGATGGTGGAGAGGCGTTGTAGAACGGCTTGCATGGGCCATGACATCGAAGTCGCGCATCTAAGAGTGATGCTGCTGTTGGTTGGGACGGGTTGGACGGGTCACACACATCAGCCGAACCTTCCGTCGTCGGCCGAGCTCCGGATCGCCAGTCTCTGACCTCCAGCACTGCACGGAGTGACGACGGCCAAGCTGGAGCATACACAACGCTGCGGCCATGGCATCTTCTTCCACCGTCCCGGCCATGGCTTCCTCAGTGGCCGGGCTACGGACAACCACCACTTCGAAACGGCGCGTATGTGCGCAGCCAACCGTTACACCTGCGCAACCCCCCCCGTGGGGCTCCACCGACCCGCGCTGAATGCAGACCTCCGTGTGGCCATTGAAGGACCACCCGAGGCTCTGGGCCCAGCTGATGGCGAAATCGGTCCGTGAGGATTCGCGCGGTGTCGCGAGGCCTGACACCCGCTACGCTCCAATTTTTTGGACGGACACCGTTTGGACCGACGTGCTGGACTCGTGAAAAAACACAGGTCCTCCACCAGACCAGCGGAGGACCTACAAGTTCGTGCGCGTTACAGGCGGGGAGGGATGGAGCACACGTGCAACCTCACAAAATGCAACTCTGACAACTTTCGTGGGTTTTTCCTGACAGGAATGGTTTGCACACTGTGCGGCGACACACCCACGAAACGAAGTCGTTTTTTGTTTCGTTTTTTGTTTCGTTTTGTGTACCGTCCGGCGAGGCCCTCGGTACATGAATGCCAGCCGCAGACATACGTATTTTGTGGGCACCTATGGAGACACCCACAAAATATGTGTTTTTTTCTGTGATTTATGTCCATGTTCACTATTAAACCACCCGTACACCGCCCCAGCCTTGCTGAAAATGTTTCGTCGCCTGGTCTGAAAAAGTCGGTGCTGGCACACGGTCGATAAAATAAATAGGTGGCCGGCATCGCATTTCAGCCTCTGACAGGGGTCGCAGCCTATGTGAGGCGTGCACTGGTGGTTTAAACCTATATAGCGTTGGGAAAAGTGGGAATATAACCTATATAGCGTTCTTTGGGGCCACCGTTGGCTGTTGATAAAGAGGGGGCCCTTTTGCAGGCTTTCATTAATGCTCAAATAAAACTGAGGCCGGGAATTCCTCAACAAACAACCCGGAAAGGAAAGAAAAACCATGCTGGGAGCATTACCCAGTTTCGCTTCAGGTGTTGGGAAACCTTCCAGGAACGGAGTGGCCAAATCCAGACCGCTGTCCTGGTGTTACACAACCCTTGGACGTAACCAAAAAAGGGGAAAATCAACAAAATCATGCCTTCACGGCTAATGAAGCTATAATTCTACACACACACAAAAAAAAAGGAAACAAAACCACCCAGCACTCTCCTCCTACCAACTTCTAAGCCTACCCTGCCTTCACAGACTAAACTAACCACCCAAGAAACTGTACCCGTACCCGATTCCAGCCCAGTCTATGCTATTCCTCTACCTCCCTGCCAATCTAATATACCTTCTAATGCAGAGATAACCGTTGTCGACTGACTATTTAAAGTTGTCCGCCTACCTTCGGCGGAAAGATCTTCTAAAGATCAAATCTTCCTTACGAAGAACGCTCCTTCCATCCCACTGTGCCAAACCTGCCTGTCTACTGCGACCAATCTGGAACCGAGCGAAACAGGTTTGTCTTGTTAAGCTACGAAGAAAACAACCACTGGTCCAATACAAGCTTGTCATTCTCAATTCTTGCTAGAGTGTTCCGAGCGCACCAGGTCTCATTGAACTACCTCAAGCCACTTGGCTTGCTCTCTTCTGACAGAACTTTACGCCTCCAGTCGGCCTGTATTGATTGTCTTATTCCCTGCTGTACTGTGGCACGAATTTGTTTGTTCGACCAGTCTTGGCCTTTGAAAATGCAATCATTCCTTCCTTGCCACACTACCACACAAACCACCGCTCTCAATGTCTGAGCAACATATCCCCATCCCTTAGATGGGGAGAGCGAATCTGGAATTCCACCCAACAGGGTCCAGTTCTTATCCGAATTCAAGATCCCACCTGAAATGTTTTCCCATTTCCCAATCCACCACCTCCAGATTCGACCCGCTGCAGGACAGTCCCACCATAAGTGAATAGTGGATTCGAAGGCCCACTAACACCTCATGCATTTGGTGTCCACTCTCATACCATGTTCGACAAGCCAAATCGCAGAAGGGGTGGTTAGCATTGATAACAGCCATAAGATTGTTGCTTGACGTTGATTGGGGATCAGGACCAACTGCTTCCAACATTTCTTTAGATCAGCCATGATAGTCTGAGGGTCAAGATTTAATAAAGGTTGCCATCTTGTCGTCGCCACCGTCAGGGGCTCCTTTGGAGGCAGGATCAAATTGTAACCAATCTTTTGGGTGTAATCCAATACACACAGGCTTTGTCCGGAGCTTCCTGTAGCCCGCCATTCCCATTTCTTGGGGTCTAGCTTCAGGGCCGAAACAAGTCTGGCATTCGAGAACAGAACACAGGATGTCGAGCCTGTGTTCTTGGTATATTCCATTACTCTGATCTGAGTGAATGAGGCACCTACTGCAGGCTGGCACTGACCGTCCTCCTGCGTTAGCAGATTGTCATTAAGTATTGACCATCCCTGGAAGACTCGTTTACCATCTGGTTGGATGTTAACCAATTTCCAGATCTAAGAGTTGTCTACTGAGTCGCCTGTGCTATACCAAGTTCCGGGCTGGTCTGTTTTGGAATAGTCCAGAAGATCTCTCCACACCTGCGGGATCGCATTGATAATTAATTCTCTTTTCTCTGTCAAATTCCTTACCCGTCCCAGTTTGGAGCGTAGGTCGTTAACAGTAAGCCATGTCCCGCTGATATTGTCCCACGAATCCTTGACCCGGACTATACCTGTTTCGATCCACTTTCTTCCAAAACTGCCAGTAGTAGTATCTGCCTTCACCCAATCGCCGGAAGGTTGTCTGATGTGAGGGTTTTCAAACAGTGGTGGCTCAAGACTTCCGCTTTCGTAGTTGGTTCTACCCACACATCTGGACACAACGTTCTCCAGGCCTGTATGATTGCCTTCAAAAACAGTGATCTGATATATCTTCTTTGGAAAGAATATAGCATCATACAAATCCATACATCTGACGGACGAGACAGGTTCCATTCCTTTGCCAGAATATGCTCGGCCAAGGCTATCCAATGTGACTCTTGTCCTTCTAATGCAGCTTTCAGAATCCACTTAATGAGCATGACGTCATTTTGTTTCTTGGGATCCAGGATGCCTATTCCCCCTTGGTCGCGTGGGATGCAGAGCGTTTCCCATGCGACTTTGGACAGAAAGGAGTCCTCATCTCCTGCATATGGTTTCCATAGGAATTTTGTCGCCCTTCGTTTGATTAGACTATACAACTGTTTCCCAAATTTCCTAATTGTGCCGACAAACCACAATGATGCAAAAAGCGCGGCATTTATTACCACTCCTCTATCGAATAGTGACAGATGGGGGGCTCTGCCCCATGTGACCAATCTGTGTATTGCTTTTTGGATCAATAGGTTGTCCTGGTCCCCTTCACAGGATAGCAGAGCAATTTGTACACCCAGAAAAAGTTCCGATTGATCCACACCAACTCTGCGCATTCCCCATTGTGCTGTCAATTGGTAGTTAGGAGCCAGAAAGAAGATTGACTTATGCCAGTTTACAGCAGCCTCAGAGAGGTCCGAGTACTCATCTAGACACTGTTTTAGTGCCCCCAAGGAAGTCGAGGAGTTTTCGGTCACTGCAAACAGGTCATCAGCCAATGCCTTGACCTTAAGCGGATTTGAACCAGCGGGGAGTCCCCTGATTAAATCATTCGACCGGATATTGTTTAAAAGTACCTCCATTTGGATAGCAAACAGGAGAGGGGCTAACGGGCATCCTTGTCTCAGAGACCGAGAGAGGGAGAATTCATTGGAGAGTCTGTCGTTAACCATAACAGCCGCTGTAGACATTGTGTACATCGCTATAATCCAGGTAGAAAACATTGCACCAAAGCCCATTACTTTTAGGGCCATGAGAACATATGAGCAGTTTATCCAGTCATATGCTTTCTCCAGATCAAGTAAAAGGACTGCATAATTCAGATCCTCATTGTTTATGACTTCCAATGATTCTACAGCTGTCACGATATTTGTGAAGATTGACCGACCTCTCACAAACGCTGCTTGGTCCGGTTTGACCAGATCAGGTAAGTATCTCCCCAGTTTACGTGCAAGTATCTTAGCCAAAAGTTTATAGGAGACGTTCAAGACTGAGATAGGCCTCCAATTGCGAATTTCAATTTTATCCCCCTTTTTGTATAACACAGATATTATCCCTCTGCACATGCTACTATACAGTTTCCCACCCGTGAGGATTTCGTTGTATATTTCTACTAGGCTCTCACCTAAAACCTCTCAAATAGACTAATACAGTTCTACTGGGAGACCGTCATCGCCCGGATCCTTACCTCTGGACATTGCCTTCAGAGCCTCGAGTGCTTCTGCGGTGGTGATAGGATGGTCCAGGTCTAACCGGCCAACCGTAGAGAGTCTTACCGTGGTAGAGGACCAGTGATTGTTGCTCAGGTGGAGATCATTGTCAATAAACATTTCCCTATAGGCGTGACGTTAATATATCTTTGTAATACATAGCCGCATAGTTGCAGAGGGCTAATGGGTCCTTGGCTGTAGGGGAATCAGAGTTAAAGGGATGACTCAATTCTCGCATGGGTACAGAAGAACGTCTCGGAAGGAGCTTTTGAAACGACTCCTTCGTCAGGCGGTCGTAAATTGTGATTCCTTTAACTTGCAACCGTTCCACCCATATTTTCGATTTTTTCTTATGCAGCATATCCCATTCTGACATCAAGCTGGCCCTCTCTGTGCCCCATACCACATTTGAGACTAGATGTTATGTCATTCTTTGCTCTGCATATTCAATTCTCTTCTGTAGAGTCACTTCCTATTTGTTTCGTTGGTATGCCTTAATCCTTGAGAATATAGAAAGCAAATTTGAAAATATTCCGGACCCTGTTTCCCACCACTCCGTCGTAGAAGAGTACGTGTGTCTGGCATCCTTCCAACTGGTCCAAAATTTCCTCATCCACTCGAGTAGGCCTTCATCTTCCAAGTTCTGTGTGTTGAGTCGGAAGAGACCACGCCCTCTGTCTAGCTCTGCTGTAAGAACAGACATAAAGACAGGTTTGTGATAGGATACTGGTTGAGACTTTTCGGTGATCCCTATTGCAGATTCTCACAGATTTTGTGAGGTCAGAAAATAATCTAACCTTCGAAAGATCACCCCCACGTTTTCTCTTGTATTGGAGAACCACGTGTATCCGTCCTCATTGGGGTGTGATAATCTGTAGGGATCTATAAGCTCCAAGGTATCCATGAGTTTCAGCAGGAAGGCTTTGTCTCTGGGGTGTCCAGATCCTTGAGATGAGCCGAACACATCCAACGAAGTGTTCAAGTCTCCTACCAAAACAATTTTATCCCCATCTGGAATAATTAACAGCAAGTCCTGAAAGAAGGAATTACGGAGACCCGGATCCGTAGGGGCGTAAACTGTCGCAATAATCCAGTATTGGTCCTTAACTAATAGTTTTATCCATGCCCATCGGGCCCCACAAATTGGAGTAGTAGTCAATAATTTCACAGTCCAAATCCCTGTGTATTAAAATCCCTATCCCTCTTCTAGAGCCAACTGCTGGGGACCATATTTGGGATCCGTCCCACCAACTACCCATAGCATTTATTTTATCTTCGTTAAGTTTAGTTTCTTGGATACAGGTACTCTGGATCTCATTAGTGTGGATCAGGGACTTCAATCGTTCTTTCTTAAAATTACCCGCTGAATCTCCCATACCTCGCAAATTCCAACTCAACAAAATTCCAACTCAACAATTTAAGTTTACTCATGCTCTACTCGGACCTCCCATCTGCTGTTGGATATGCGGGGAAGGAGAGGACGAACCATCCATGGACCAAGCGCTAGTTAAATAATTATGTAAGAACGGAGATTCGAGCTTCTTGTCTCTGGGCAGTTGTGACTCCAAGTCCAGCAAGCATTCCGCAGTTCTCAAGGGCGGAATGAGGATGCGTCGAATTTCCTATCTCTTATTATCAGAGAACCATGAGATAGGAATCAATCGAAGACCCTCGCTCTCAAGTTTTTCCAGTTGTCCATCTAGGAAGTGAACATCCAGAAGTGGAATGAAAAATTTGATTTTCTTTCCACATTGTTCCGGATGGTCTACGAGGATCCGAACCATTATGATCTCTGGGATAAGACAAAAAACAAATTTCTCGTGGATAGCTGATCACACCAATATTCCTATCGAGGAGGGCATCGGAGTGTCCGGGGATGGAAGACTTACCAAAGTCGGCGCTCCGTCAGGTCCGGTAAAGGCAATAGTCCAGAAGGAATTACGAACTGGCACACAGAAAAATGGTAAGATCTTATTCTCAATATCTTGCAGTTGTCCCTTCACTAAGGAGACAGGTACTCGTTTGCGTGATGTTTTTGTACCTGGAGTGCATATTATCGTACCATTTGTCCCTGAGTTTTGAGACGAGGATGCAGAATTCTCACCTTCTAAGTACCTAAGTTGCCACCTTTCGAGACGAAACTACCTTCCCTGTCAAGTCTTCGCTGCTTACCTGGCGTGCCGCTTCTTCCCCTCGAGCTTCCAGGAATAGAACCGACTGGAGGTATACTGATCCGATCGGGGTCTTGGGATGTGTGGACACCTGCCGTGGGGTCTACATGTGTGAAGCCACCGTGATTGAATAATAAACCTTGAACTGGAGGTCGGATTGTTGGAACTGACCCCCCGACCGTATAAATTGTGTCTCCCATTTATGTGGCAACACCATCCACAGTCACCGGATTCCCCAAGAAGGGGCCAAATGCAGAAGGATGTGCCATGTCGTATTGGTTCGAGATTCCAAATGGAATTGAGTGCATATTCCATGGCAACACTCCACCTTGAGACGTACCATGTGAGGCGTGCATATAACCTAGATGTGCCTGGAGGCCTGGAGAAAAGATTGGATTAAACTGGTGTGAGAAGTTGGAGGGGAACGCTGCTTGACTGGTTGTTGTCGGAGGTGCGTGGGTTCTCGTTGTCGGAGCTAGAGAGGCGTTGACGCTTGGAGAAGTTGGACGACTCAACGGGCCCCGGTACTGTCTCCCCGTCGAAGGCTCTTGTCCGCCTGCTTGTTGTTGGAAGTTACCTGGATCTGAGGCCACCCCTTGATTTTGCCGATTGTTACGATGACATTCCAAGTCCGTATGAAAAAAAGCTCTGCAGCGTCTGCAGCAAGGAGTCGTCGCACAAGCCAGTTTGACTTCGAGAGAGTCCCCTTCGAAAGTATCTATCCAGATTTTGTCCTTCGTGTTGTGATGGGTCGTCGACTCGATGTCAAACTTGATATTAACGAGAGTAGGCCGCATCCGATCCTGTTCTGGAGGGTACGAGCGGATGACTGGTCCGATTGCTCTTCGTACCTGCGATTCCAAGTACAAGAAAGCATCAAGAGGTACGTGCACCGCAATCACCCAGAAGTTCTGATCGTCCTCCTGTTGTCTCTGTATACGTAGTTGCACCTTCGTTAACCACGGTTTGAACTCAAACACATAATGGGACGGGCCAATAGTCAGCTCGTCGCTGCCCTTGTTCACCAACCACGTAGCTATCTCCCGAGACTTAGCGACGTAGGACACCATGTTGGGTGTTTCCATCTTCGTTCTTCCTCTTCGGAACGTTTGTGCATCGAATGAGCCTTCGGAGGCCTTCTTGTCTTCATATGCACGAACTATGTCCTCCGTAACGTTCTTCGGGAGGACCCTTGCACCAGCTCGGAAGATTACGGTAACCGTATGCTCTTTCAGCCAATTAATTTTGGCTTGATCGAGCACTACGTTTACCTTGAATCTCGCTTCTCTCCCATCGATTGTCATTTCACTAGGGTCAATATCAGATGGCATAATTCCCTCATCATAACACATCCTCATCAACTCGCGGAGCCTATCGTCGTCCTCTTTGGTCCCTTGTGGGACCTATGGAGGCGATCTTGCGACGTACTAGCTTCCGGACCTACGCCATCTTCCGGACCCCTCCCCTCCCCTTGTTTCTTTTGAATCAAGATGTGTCTTGCTCGGCCCCAGAAAACCCCTTTCTGTTTTTTCGATTAAAGGTACCTCGCTGAAATCTGTATTTTTTGTCAGCACTAGGGATTCTTGAAATTCCATTTTTTTTGTAATTTGGAAATGCATGAGAATTACGCGCGCCTTAGCGAGCGCGCTCATAATACGGCTTGGCGGTTAGGAATTCCAGAATTAACGGAACTCGACGCGTCCTTTCGCGCATGAATGTTATCGGCCACGACATGGAAAACTCTGGGAATTTTGGAGGAATATGAATAGACGTAGGACTTTCTTTCTTTTCCCGCGCCTACTTTGCGGACGGATATGGTGATTTCAATTTTCAAATTAGCGTAGGGCTTGGAAAAACTGCAACTGTTTTGGTGCCCATTTTTTGTTTGTTTGGCACCATGCATACGAGCTCTCTCCTCCTTCCTTCTCGCCCTCCTCTCGACGCCCTCCTTCGCGCGCCCATGCTCTCTCTCTCTCCCCCTCTGTAACTGTTTTTCTCTCTCCTTCCCCTCGTGCGCCCTTTTTCTCTTTCTTGATCATCTGAATCTTGGGCCCGTTTCGTGCTATCCTTCGCACCCTTCTTCTTCCCGCTCTAAATCCTGCGCTCGAAAACCCGGACGATCCTCTCTTTTCCTCATCTAGCCAAGGAGAAGCGCCGTGTAAGAGGAGATCCCTACTACGCGAGGATTCTGATTGGCTGAGATCGGACTTTGAAGGATCAACATGGCTTTCGACGGGCGATTACCCTCATGCCCTCCCTCGCCCTCCTCTGCCCCATTCTCCATCTTTCCCCGCATCTATCTCCCTTCTCACAACTATAAATTTCGCAAGCGCATCCGCAAAACTCTCTCTCTCAACTCGTCAACCAGCTTCCGGGAAGCAGTGGCTAGATGGTGTGTGTGGTGCGAATCGAAAAGTCCCGACGGGTTGACTGTAGACTGGCTGGCTGTGCGCTTGATCGCCACGACGGACTGTGGGATCAGGGCAAACCCGTGCAGAAACTAAGTCGGCGGGGTGACGATCGCGATGGTGGAACGTGGCACGCGACGGTCGGGATCGTCGGTGCATGTATGAGGATAGTGATCAGAGTTGGAGGGATGAATGGCCCGAGGCCATGATGAAACTTTACGGCGGATGCGCCTCCTTGTCTCGAATCTATTCTTTGGTGTGAGTGCAACTCCACAGCAGTTAAGCCGGAAATTCTTTTCATCTTCGGATTTTTGTATGATTGTCATCTATTATGCATGCCATGAAATGGTTACCTGATGGGCCGACGTTTTGATTAACCATGGGATGATGGGGCAGGGGTGTAGAGCACGCGGAGAACCGAATGAAGCATGACTGCCATTTTCGCACCTCCCGTGATGAGTAACCACGAATGTAGATTGTCGTTGATGGACTGGTCTTTTGATTAGGCCGAAGAGTGGTTGCGAATGGAATGCATGAGAATGGTTGAGTTATTGGCAAGGGCAATGATGTTGGGATTTTGTTCGAGAATGCAAGAGTGTTTAGATCTGTCGATGATGTGATTGCGTGAGAATACCCCGGGATCTTTAATCCGAAATACACTGTGCATGCCGTCTGCAGCTTGCCCTCGATACGCAAAGCCCGAAAGGCGGTCTATCCTCTCAGAAGAAAGAAGGGTGCCACTTGACGTGAGTACTGTCCCCACGGTTTCCTTATGAAAAATTATCGGCGAGACCATTAGATCATTACGAATGCTCTCTCTCTCTCTCTCTCTCTCTCTCTCTCTCTCTCTCTCTCTCTCTCTCTCTCTCTCTCTCTCTCT